GTCAGTATCATAAATAAATCATTTTAAATAAGTGATGACCGTATGTATATAGTTAGTATTAAAATACATATTAAATAGCTCTAAAGATTTTACTACGATTTTGAATTTACCTCCGGGAACCCATAAACTTAAATTCATTGTTGATGATGAATGGAAATGTTCAAATGAACTTTCAACTGCTACCGATCCAGATGGAAATTTGGTAAATTATTTAGAAGTATTTGAAGAGGAAGGAGATTCTATGGATCAGAATGGAATGAGCACGGATGGTAAAAAAAAAAAAAAAAGCATATTTAAATATTATAATTATAAATTATATTCATTCTGATACATATGATTATTTTTAGATCTTTTGTCAAGTACGCCTCCAGGAGAATACACAAATGAAATCCCAGGATATCTTCTTGCATATGCACATTCCCGTAACATTAATGAAACCAACTTTGATAATTCCACATCAATAAAAGATCCCCCTGAATCCCCAGGGAGTATGACAGAAGATCAACCACCAGCCCTCCCACCACATCTGGAAAAAGTTTTGCTAAATAGCTCAGCAGTTTCAAAGGAGGATAATAGTGTTTTGCCAGTACCAAACCATGTAGTGTTGAATCATTTATATGCTTGTTCGATAAGAGACGGTGTGATGGCCGTCGCCTCCACAGCAAGATATAGGAAAAAGGTATTTATTATTTCATTGGTTATTTATATTGTAAATCAAATTTCTAATCCTTAATTTCTTTTACAGTATGTGACAATCGTGTTTTACAAACCCATTATTATATGATACTACAAGTATATTATGACATTTAATCATTACGAATAATTATCACTCATAAATTCTAGTTAATTTGTAATCTTTATCATGTAAATTCAGTTCAATATATTATTGTATTTCATGCATAGTACGTTGATTTCCAAAATAAATTAAGGAGTGTACAAATAGTAAGCCAAACTAATGACTTAATAAAAGGATTTCATATTTCATGTTTTCATATTCACTCCTATCCAATTTCTTTGAATAACAGGTAAAGTACTTGAAAAACATTTACTTGCATACTAAAGCATACACCCTATTGGGATATCTTCTAGACTAACTTAAAGACATGATTATATCTGAAATACATAGGTCTGCATGTGCTATTTTT